GAACATCTGTACATGGTTAGCATGTGAGAAAGTCAGGATGGAGTGCAGGAGTTGCTGCCTGATTCTAACGTTCTCTGCCTTCCCGTAACACCACGCTGCCCCAGTGGACTCTCAAAGATATGCAGAGAAGAGCGGGGCACAGTCTCCACTGCCCGCCCTCCCAGGGGGTATAGGGAAGGCGGTCAGGCTGGAAACTGGGGCAGGAGCTGATGCTGCAGCCTGGAGGTGGAATTTCTTCTTCCTCTGGGAAGTCTTGGCTTTGTTCTTATAGCCTTTCAGCTGACTGAGGGAGGCTTTATTCACAATAATCTCCTTTAGTATTAATCACATCTACAAAATACCTTCACAGTAACACCTAGATGAATGTTTAACTAGGAACTGGTAGATAGCCTAACCAAGTTGACAGATAAAACTGACCATCATGGCCCAGCTGCAGTGGCAAATGGAAGGCACTTCTGCGTGGTGACTGAGGCCACGTGGGAGGCCCAGGTTCGATTCCCCACTCAGCCTAAAACAGGCTAGGGAGACTGGGGCAGCAGAATGCAACAGGGTGAGACCTTGTCAAAAATACCTCCACCTTCCCTTCCACGCCCTCTCTCTCTCTCTCTCTCATAAAAGCAAAAACAATCTAACGAAACACCCAACCATCACAGAGATCCTTGCTTATAAATAGAAAGAGCTGTTCTGCTAAAAATGAAATCTTTGACATGTGGCTAGGATGAATGGAGACTATGCACACCGCAGGTGAGGTCTGCTCACCCTGGTGGACAATTCAGGCTAGACACAGTCTAGAGAGCTGTGCTCAGAAAACGTGTACATGTCTATAACTTTTAAACAACATGTCTCCTTGTTGGAAAGACAGCAGGAAAATTAGGAGCTTGGTGTTTTCAGAAGATGGGGAACTGATTTGTCAAAAGGTGGATGGAGTGATTTGGGGCTTCCATCTTTGTGGCTCATTTTCTACCATTGCCCCTACCTTTGTGAAGACTCCCATTCTGGTAGGGACACAGGCCACCCTGCAAACTCTGCCCCACCTCACCCTCAAAGACCAGCCCAGAGGCAATTCTGACTCATCCCTCTCTTGCAGCCCCGTCACCCTTGGCACGGTGGTGTGGCTGGAGGCGCAGATCACTGGCATGGAAGGAAGAAAGGTGTATCTCTCTTGTGAAGCCCAGAGCAGCGACAGGACCACCACCTTCGCTGAAGCTTCCGGTAGAGTCATCAGAATTCTCTCTTCCTGTTGTTCGTGCCCATCCTTCTGGCTGACAAGAGAGTGGCTTTCCTCACTACTGAAGGCAGTGTTCATAAGGCAGACTCTATTTTTTTTTTAAGAGAGCTTTTTTGCTTTAGGGCACATGCACTTGCCAGAGAGAAAGACGGAAAGTGAGAAATCACCCCCGAGGGGGATGGCCATGCCACAATCCCTTCTCCTCCATTGTCCTCTTGGGATCTTAGGCATGTATGCACACACATGTTCGTGCCCATCCTTCTGGCTGACAAGAGAGTGGCTTTCCTCACTACTGAAGGCAGTGTTCATAAGGCAGACTCTATTTTTTTTTTAAGAGAGCTTTTTTGCTTTAGGGCACATGCACTTGCCAGAGAGAAAGACGGAAAGTGAGAAATCACCCCCGAGGGGGATGGCCATGCCACAATCCCTTCTCCTCCATTGTCCTCTTGGGATCTTAGGCATGTATGCACACACACCTGGCCGGAGTTTAAGCCACAGGGTGCAGGACTCAAACCTCTGTAGACTACATGAGAATCCAACAACGTAACTATTATGTTATCTGCTAGTCTCAAGGCAGACTCTTAAGGCTGCTCTTTCAGACTCTGTGTTTGGGTTGGGAGGGGATGTGCAAGAGGAAAGGAACTTACGTCGGCTACAGGAACAAGGTCATCATAGTCACCCGGAGACCTCTCTGAAAGGCTGTAGGCGTAGACGGGCTTATGAAGATGGTGTTGGAGAAGGAAGGTGAGGCAGCCCACCATGCCTGACATCTCCCCTCTCCCATTTGGCTTCTATAAGGCAAAGTGAGCATCAGTAGAAGAGGCAGTGTAGACGTTACCAGAAACAGCTCTCTCCAGGAAGGCAGGAAGATCTCCCCGAGCTGGCCTTCCTGGGAGCATGGCCGGTGATTCACGAGTGTCCCTTCCATTCCAGCCATCTTCTTCCAGATGAAGTGACGCAGAAGCAAGGCACCACCAGGCTCATTTCCGCCTGTCCTGGAAGGCAGAGGGATGAAACGAAAGCCTCTCCTGGAGCCGGCCTGCCTCACCTACTCACCTTCAGCTCCCATCATACTCCAGCCTTTTCCTTTTAAGAAACTCCCCCAAAGTCAATGCTTGATATGAATAAAGCCCTAAAAGGAAGTCCTGTATGCAAATGGAGGCATGTGTGCCCTTTCCAGATGTTAAAGAATCCCTGAATATGCAACCCAGAAAACAAGGGCCACCCCAGGTCCTCAGGGACTGAATGTGTAATTTGGGGGTGGGGAGTTTAGTTCACAGCAGCCAAGTCACCTTCCATGGATTGCAGATAAATCAGAGAAGCCTTGACTGATGTTAAGGACTTTGTTTTAAGTTGAATTAGTCACACTAATGACACCAGATGTTTTCACACCAGATGAGTCCTCTGCTGCTTTTCTTTTCTTTTTTGTAAGTTTTGTAATTATTTATTTATGACAGAGAGAGATTGATTGTTTTTTAAGAGAGAGATTTTTTGCTATAGGGTGCATGTACTTGTCAGAGAGACAGAAAGCAAGAAATCAACCCCTGGAGGGATGGCCACGCCGCAATCCCTTCTCCTCCATTCTTCTCTCAGGATTTTGGGTACACACACACATACATGTGCTTGGGTAAGTTTTAAGCCATCTGGTCCTGGACTTGAACCACGGTCGACTACGTGAGAATCCAGCAATGTAACCATTACACCAACTGCTGGTCCCAAGAGATTGATTTTTGACAGGGTCTTATCATATTGGGATTGGCCTGCCCTAGTCCCCCAGCTAACTGAGACCGCAGGTGTCCCCCAGCTAGCTGAGACCACACCCATGCCGTTTTAGGTTGGGCTGAGAAATGAACCCAGGCCTAAGTGCTCTCGGCCTCTAAGCAGTAGCATCTTATAACACATGCCCCTGCAGCTGGGTCTTTCTTTTCTTTTCTAATTTACTTCTCCAAACTCTGCCATTAAGGAGCATTTGGGAAGAAAAGGGACTGTGGGCTTCAGGGTTAGATATGGCAGGAACAAATATGGAGAAAGGAAATGCAGGAGTCACCACCCTCAAAGGTCAGCCCTTGTCGTCTAACCTCAGGGCGAAGCAGGCATACCTATGAGGGTGAGGCAGTGGCCGGCAGGCTTCCAACTGGTCCCACCCCCAGAGGGACCAGAGTAGCCTCTGAAATACAGCGATTCATGGTTTCTCAGAAGTAAGAATCTTTGTCCTAGGAGTGGAGTGGAGGGGAATAGGTCTTCCTTTAAGAAGAATGTTTAGGGGGCAACAGGTGGCGTGATGGTTAAGGTCTTGGATTCCCACATGGCCAACTGCAGTTCAAGTCCTGGATCCAGCAGGTTGAAAATCATGCTGAACATGTGTGTGTGTGCCCAAAATCCCGAGAGGAGGACAGAAGAAAAGGGATTGCAGCATGGCCATCCTCTTTGGGGGGGAGTTATTCATCATTTTTCCTTTCTGTCTGTCTTCTGCAAGCTCATGAAAGCCTATGGCAACCCCCCTTCCCCCCAAAAAAAGGGAAGTCATTAATACTACACAAAAGCAAACGAGCTTTCTGGTTTACGCTGAGGGATAGCAAAGCCTTCAATCACCAGGTAGGTTTAGTTTTGTTTTGAATGTTTACACGTTCCTCAACCTGGGGATGAAGGGCCTATTTTCTAGCTTGTTCTGTGCCTCCATGGGACACGAATGAGGCCATCTTCCTAAATCATCAGTTTCTTTTCTGACCTAGATTTCCTGGTGAAGAACAGCTGATAGAAGATAGCAAACGCTGTATCTATGAAAAGCTTAAACTTAATTCTGCAGATATAAACGTCTACTGATGGGATGGTGTGTCCCTGCATTCCTCGAGTGTGAGAATCCAGCATTAAAACTTTTCTGGGGATAAGCCAGACAGGCATCATGGGAAATTAACACCCAAAAGGCTGTTGACAGTCCAGATGAACAAAAGCCAGATTTTAAAAAAATTTCAGGGTGGGACCAGCAGTTAGCGTAATGGTTATGTAGCTGGACTCCCACGTAGCTGACCGCAGTTTGCGTCCCGGACTCAGTGGCTTAAAACTCACGCTGGGCACATGTGCGTGCGTGCACAAGATCCCGAGAGGAGAATGGAGGAGAAGGGATTGCGGCATGGCCATCCCCCCTGGGGGGGGGTGATTTCCCCCCGGGGGGGGGGGGTGATTTCTCACTTTCTGTCTCTCTTTCTCTCTCCGTCTGTCTGGCGAGTGCACGTGCCCTATAGTATAGCCAAACCCCTCCCCCCCCAAAAAAAAGAAAATTTCAGACCAGCAAATAGGATAATGGTTAAGTTGCTGGAATCCCACGTGATAAACTGTGATTTGAGTCCCAGCCCCAGTGACTTAAAACTCACACCAGGCATGTGCCCAAATCCTGAGAGGAGAATGGAGCAGAGGGGCTTCCGAGTGGCCACCCTCCCTGGGGGGGTGATTTCTTGCCTCCTGTCTTTCTGGCAATTGCACATGCCCTATAACAAACATCTCTCTTAAACTTTTTACTGTTTTCTTTTTTTTTAAAAGAATTATTTAATTTTATGTATTCATTCATTCATTTAAATTTGACCAGAGAGACACATAGAGAGAGAGAGAAGGCAAGTGAGAAAGCAAGCCACCAGGTCAAGGACTCTAACCATGGTTGGCCATGTGGGAGTGTCTAGCTCCTTCACTACCACACCACCTGCTAGCCCCGGTTGTTCTTTTTTAGAGTTTATTTATTCAGTCTCCCAAGAGCATGAGAGGTAGAGGCAGAGACAGCATCCTTAACAGAGGGTTGATGCCAGCATTAGTTGTTTTAGGTTGAGAAACAACGAGGTCCATGCCTCTCCAGTTGCAGCCGAGAATCAAAGGACAAGGAGACAAGCCGAGCACAAGGTTTATTGTGGGAGCTAGAGATACATTCCACAGGTGGAATGGACCACGGCAAACAGGCCTGAGAGGGATCTGTTCCACGGACAGAACAGGCCAGTACTAAGGGAGGCAGCCAGCCTTGTCTCCTTCCCAGGGTCTCCTTTATCCTGTCCTAGATCCTTTGTTCGTTCTGAAGTACGTGCTCTTAGAGGGTCATCTGATTTGCAAGTCTGATTTGTCATAGGGAGTTCTTTTGCATAACAGAGAAGGTCCCATAGGCCCTCCATAAAGTTTCTCTGTGTTCCAGGCTAGTTCCTTGATCTATATCTGCTTACACAAGGCTAACCTGGTAACTTCTAACATTGAGTCCCACTCCCAGCCAGAACCAGCCTTGGATCACAGGCATACTCAGGAAGGTCTCCAAATACAAACATGAACACAGAACCTTCCCATGTGGGTCAGCCTTGCAGAACACTGCACTGTGCTACTGCAACACTGTCTGGCCCCCATCAACCAGAATGTTTTTTCTAAGAAATTTTTGCTATAGAGCACAAGCTCGCAGGAGAGACAGACAGACCGTGAAACATCCCCCAGAAGGGATGGCCATGCCACAATCCCTTCTCCTCTATTCTCCTCTTGGGCACATGCTCCTGGCCTGAGTTTTTAAGCCATCAGGTCTGGGACTCAGCCTTGGGGTCTACGACTTGAATGGCAGTCAACTACAAGGGAGTCCAGCGACTTCATCATTACACCATCTGCTAGTACCTATTGTCTACGGAAAATAACCAGCCCTGTAAAAATAATAACTAATAGTTAATGCGATTTATTTCCAAGCAGAATATGAGTGGCCTAGGCCCGGAGAAGAGGCAAAACATACCTTTCTCTTGGGGTGATGAGGTACAAGGGTTCCATTTATTTGATTTTGAGAGCGGGAGACAGAGTGAGAGACAGAGTTTGGAATTTAGTGAAAAGGTTTTCCATTAATCTGGCCCAAAAAGGAGGGGCATGTGGAAGGGGTGGGACTTGGAGGTTATTGGTGGGTTTTATAGTTTTCCATTGGTCTGACCCAAAAAGGCGGGGCCAGTGGAAGCATGTGCAGGCCCCTCCTTGTAGGTTTTAGGTGGATTTACAGTTTTGGGTGTGATTGGAAAAGCGATCAGAAATGAATGTACTTTAACAGTGATAAGGAGAGTTAATATACATCACAAAGATACTCCAATACTGTGCCAAGGGCAGGCTGTAGGAAGAATCCTGTTAATATTGGGCCAGAATGGTCTGTCAACATCTGTGGGTGTGACTCCGTCCAGGCCCTCTGGAAAGGACTTTGGAAAAATAGAAGAAAGCAGTCAGACTTCTGTCTACACTATAAACCAGAATTTTAACCACCTAGATGAGTCCTGTCCAGTAGAAATACAATGTGAGCCACATGTGTACATTTTAAACGCTCTAGTAGGCACATTTAAAAAGTAAAAACAATCAGGTGGAATGCATTTTAATAGCAATAGTATTTTATTTATTTATTTTTTTGGAGAATTTTTTTGCAATAGGGTGCGTGCACTTTCCAGAAAGACAGAGAGACAGAGAGACAGAAAGTAAGAAATCACCCCCCCAGGGGTGGGGTGGGAGGGTGGTGGCCACTAGGCAATCCTTCTCCATTCTCCTCTCGGGATCTTGGGCATGCGTGGGCGCACGCACGCGCGCGCACACACTTTAAGCCACCAGGTCGGAAACATGAACTGCAGTGACTACATGGGAGTCCAGCGACATAGCCATTACGCTAACTGCTGGTCCCAAAAGTAATTTTATTTAGCCCAACATATTTATCGTAAAATAGCACTTCCACAAGTAATAATATAGAAGATTTTAACGAGCTATTTTACCTTACAAGCCTTAGACAGCCCGAGTGGCTTACCCATACACTACATATCAATTCCTCCACTAAATTTTCAGTGTTTTCTGGGAAACTGGTCCCACCCAAACAACACAGCCGTGTTTAAGGGAAGACCATGCCCCATTGCTTTGGTTTCAAAAAAAAAAAAAGAATTAAAGTGAAATAACATGTCAAATTCAGTTCTCCAGTCACACCGCCCACATTTCATTGTGCCCCGTAGCCACAGATGGCTGGTGGCTGCTGGGCAGAGACCGTGGACATTGGCCACGAAACGTGGCGCTGCAGTTCTGAGCGCAGACACCAGGGGGCGCGCGAGGAGCGTTCCCCCGGAAGCGAATCCCCGCCTTGAATCTAGTTCCTCCGGGTGTGTCCCCCTCCGACCCCGACAGACCTCCGCTCCTGCAGCCGCGCGGGATGGGCCGGTGAGCAGAGCCGCGGAGCTCGGGGTGGACGACCAGCGGAGTAGTCCCGGGCAGGCGGGTGCGGCCGGGCGCGTGCGCAGGCGCGGGCCGTGGGC